GGCGTGGCGGCCAGCTGCTTGGCCTCCATCTGGGCGAGCCTCCGCTCGAGTTGGGCGATCACATCGTCCCTGGGGTCCTTGGCGGCCATGGTGGCGCCCTGAGTTTGCAAGAGGGCTGCATGAGCCGTGTTGATTTGGTGACGAGCATCGTCCTCGTGCAGTTTTCCCTTGCCTTTGTCCAGGCGGGGCCGATTCGCTGTTCGGGATACCGAGCCCAAGCTTTCCCTGGGTGCGCCAGGCTCATGCCGCCCAATCCGCCCCGTCATCCTCTCCGAAGCAGGCCGACGGCACGTGTCACCTAGCCTGTTAAAGGCTAAGGCTTTTCCACGCGCTGGGGCCGGTCCGGCCCGAAGAGGGGAAGTAGGGTGGGAGTGGGACAACGCCGTGTCCTGGGGCACCACCCCCTCGTCGTTGTCTAGCCTAATGGCCAACGGCTGGGGTTGAGGAGGTGGCGTCATATTCTCCCCCATCCTTGGCATGAGTGCGCTGAGGACGGTGGGATTCTGGGCCAGACTGGAGATGATGGCCGAGAGTGCGGCCTGAAGCTGAGGGTCAAATGCAGGTGAGGCCGGTTGCGCCGAGGCGTCCCCCTTTTTTGCGCGCTTTTTGTCCAGGCCGAGGCGGGCGTCCGGAGCGCCGCCGTTAAGCTTGTTGCGCAAGTCTCCCGCAAGGTCGATGGTTTCCTGGAAGACGTCTCCCTCGGCGGCCTTGTCGGCCGTTGCGTCCTCCTCGTGTTCCTGATGCTCTTGGGCCTCAGGGATGGCTTTGCCGAGAAGGTTACGGTTTGACTTAGTTCTTCCCATGATGAGTTAGCTGTGCTTGGTAGCGACGAAGGAAGCTAACTTGATTGGTCTAACTCTCAATGAAAGCACCAAATGATAGACTATAAGTCTAGAGAGAAGGGAGAGTTAGAGAGAGAAGTTCTATATTTGCTCTGTATTAATGAATTTGTGAACCCTTACAACTACTCACAGAGGGAGTATTTATAGGAAAAATTAGGGCCGGGCTCCCAAGTCTTGGGCTTGGGAGGCCCATCTACAATAGGGCCACTAATGGGCCGGATACAAAGGTGTAGAAATGATTAAGTATAAAACCCTATTCTGGAGGCCATCTGTGGCCGACGAGGGCATGGCCGACGAAGACCCGTCCGACGAGGTCACCCGGCTATTGCTGGCTTCTGGATTACGTTCTGAGGAGACTTCTTTCTGGCCGATGAGGGTCATCTGGCCGACGAGGGTCCCACCAGGTGGTCGTGGTACCTTTTGTCCTTCTGAGTATGTGGGCCCTGGGGTCCAGGCCCATATACTCCATCATATATATACACACATATATGTATGTATGTATGTAGAGTAGTGTTCTGGTCAGGAATTCCTGATCGGAAGCGCCGTTCGGACGACGTCATTTGGGGATCTTCCCGGTGATTTTTTTGATGAAATTTTTATGGCATGTTCTTCATCAAGTCTAGTTTATCTACAAAAACATTCAGCTAAAAATTGATCGGGAAGTCTGTTAAATGATTTTTGAAAGATAACTGCGTCGAAAAATACATATAAAACGCAGTTAACTTCCAAAAAATTTTTTGACAACCTTCCCAATTGAGTTTTTAGCTGAGTGTTTTTGTGGATAAACTAGACTTGATGAAGAACATGCCATAAAAATTGCATCAAAAAATTCTACCGGGAAGGTGGCCAAACGCCGCCGTCCGGACGACGATTCTGGTCCGAAATACCCGATCTGAACATTTGTCTATGTATGTATGTATATATATAGATATATGCGCGCGTATATATCTGTTTTTTCTTAATTTGAATAATGTAATTAATGAATTGTATAGGAGGGAATAAATTTGACAAACATAGGCTCATCATTCATAATATAATGCGTACTATCTTTATTATTTACAAGCTAAGTTTATCGGTGGACGTAGCTCAACTGGTAGCAAGGGAGTGCCACACGGGTTAGGTCCCAGGTTCGAATCCCGTCAACTGCGATGAAGGGTTACTATGCTAAAAATGCATAAGGACTCTGCAAGTACCGGGAATAGAGCCTCACTCTCTATTTGTCAGATTGAGATTATAGTCCAATTTACATCCTCCCAACGTACAGTCTGGTCAGGGTTGTGGGGTCCTCAAGGATGGGGTGTGGGGTGTCATCTTTTTTTTTACAAGCTCACTTTAAATAAGTTGTCTACTTTTCAGATTGCTTTTTCAGTGCAAATGCACGTACTAGCTAGCTTCGTGTGTATTAAACTATAGATACGTAGTACTATGTACTACTCCTACGTCCCGAAAAGGTTGCTCAAATTTCTTTTTTAGATGTCCAGAAAGATTTGTCATTTTTATTTAAAGTAATAAATATGTTGCTAAAGTTAATTCTCTCTTCAGCAATTTTTACTTTATTAATACACATGAAAATCAACTTTGGTTAATCTTTCTGGGACGGAGGGAGTAGTATATACTATCCTCCCTTCTTTTTAGTCGCAACATGTTTAATTTTATACTATTCACTTGCTCTACTTTGACTATATTTTAATTATTAATTTATGAGATTTATTTTTATAAAATATTCTTTAATTCATTTCATTATAAATTTTCTAAACCTGTTATATAAATTTTTGTTTCTAATCGAGAATAAGATATATTTATGGTCAATGGTGTGCGTTGGCAAATGTGCAAAATGGACCGTTGCAACTAAAAAAGAATGGAAGTAGTCAGGGGCGGAACCAGAGGGGGGCGAGCCGGTGCTGGCGCCACCCCTTCGCCGGAGTTTTAGAGGTACTAGTAATAGGTATCCCGGCAACCGCCAGCAAGCGCCCCGTCTTCTTCTTCGGCCAGACCTGCGCCCCGGCTATGCTGAGATCCACCCCCGTCTTCTTCTTCGGCCAAACCAGGTGAGGTGCAGAGGTGTGAGTGTTTTTTTTAATTAAATCATTTAGGCAAAACGACGTCGTTTGGTTAAGTGCACAGTAACGGCAGAAACGACGTCGTTCCTCTTGGAGTTGGAGTTGGGCCGTTCACCCGTTCCAGTCCGGCAGTCTTCGAGATCTCTTCGCACTTCGCCAATCGCAAGTCGAGATCTCTGCCTTCATGTCTTCGCCAATCGCCAATTCGCAGGTGAGCAGGGCCAGCCGCCAGGTCGAGTTCCGCAGGTGAGCAGATCGCAGACGGTCCCAGGCTTCGAGTCCTCTGTCCGCTAGGCCCAGGCGCCAGTCCAGTCCTCTACGGCTCTACTCCTCTGTGCAGCTGGGCTCTGTCCGTCACTCCGTCGGTCGCAACTCGCAACTCAGGCAAGAAGGGGGCAACCAGGCAGCCTTGTGATAGGTTATTTGCAATTGATTTGGTAAGTAATTTTAAAATTGATAACTGTTTTAATTAATTTTATTGGTTGTTTGCTTTAAGAGTTTAACTAATTATTTAATTTGAAATTGGACTGATGATTGATTAATAGCTTTAAGGTTTGATTTTAATTTGCAAGTTTATTGATTCCTCAATACAATTGCTTTTTATAGTAATAATTGATTATAAGCTTGAATTGGTAAAACCCTAGACCGTATAAAATTGAAATTGAAAGTGCTTTAATTGTTTTAAATTTTAATTGATTATAAGTATTTAAGAATTTGAAATTGAAATCTTTTTTAACTTGTTAGGTTACTCATGCGATCATGTCTATTTTACAATTTGTAACACGAGAGGGTGGACCTTCTAGACGAGATAACGAAGAAAGTAGTAGAGAAAAACATCCTCGTGTCGAATTTGATCCAAATGATATTGTGTCTGATCCTGGATTACGTAAGCCAATATTCAAGTATAATTCTTTTATTAGAGACCAGGTTATGAGAGAATATTTAACAAGAGGTCCGTGTAGACCGATTGGCCATGTATATCCTAAGAGAGTGTATGGTAAAGAAAAGAGAAGTTTTCAACCTGCTTGGTTTGAGAAATATCCATGGTTGGAGTATAGCATTTCAAAAGATGCTGCTTATTGCTTGTGGTGTTATCTTTTCAAAGATTCAAATAAAGGAAACCGAGTTGGAGAAGTTGCATTTACCGAGAAAGGGGTAAATAATTGGAAAAAAGCACTAGATATATTCAATACTCATGTTGGTGTGGTGGGTAGTGCTCACAATAATGCTAGAGTGAAACTTGAAACTTTTCAAAATCAAAGACAAAGTATCTCACATTTGATAAGTGCACATGGGCGGGAAATAGAAGCTGCGTATCGCATTCGTTTAACCGCAATTTTGGATGTGATACGATTTCTGTTGAAGCAAGGTCTAGCATTTCGTGGTCATGATGAGTCATCTAGTTCTTTAAATAAAGGTAATTTCCTTGAATTACTAGAATGGTATAGTCAAAGAAATGAAGAGGTGGCTAATACATTGAATGAGAATGCTCCCGGAAATAATCAAATGACATCTCCAAAAATTCAAAAAGAATTAACTAATGCTTGTGCATTTGAAGTCACACGAGTTATTCTTGAAGATATTGGAGATAATTTATTTACTCTTATGGTTGATGAATGTAGAGATGTTTCAGTTAAGGAGCAAATGGGAGTTGTTTTGAGATATGTGGATATGTGATTGAACGTTTCCTTGGCATTGTGCATGTTACTGATACTTCTGCTATTTCTTTGAAAAGTGCTGTTGATGAGTTGTTTTCAAAGCATAAATTGTCTTTATCAAAACTCAGAGGTCAAGGATATGATGGCGCTTCAAATATGAGAGGTGAGTACAATGGATTAAATGCTCTCATATTGAAGGAAAATCCTTCAGCAAGGTATGTGCATTGCTTTTCTCACCAACTTCAACTAGTTGTTGTTGCTGTTGCTAAGTCTAATCGAATTGTGTGTGACTTTTTCCAATATGTTATTATGCTTGTGAATGTCACTGATGCTTCTTGTAAAAGAAAAGATAGACTTAGACAAATAGAGCATGACAGACTAGTTGAGAGTTTGGAGAAGGGAGAGATAGTAAGTGGGAAAGGGAAAAATCAAGAAGTAAGTTTGAGAAGACCGGGGGATACTCGTTGGGGGTCACACTACATAACTATTGTGCGTTTGATGTCTATGTGGACTTCGGTTTTAAAAGCACTTGAAAATGTGCATGATGATGGAGCTACCGAGGAGCGGGGTATGGCTTCAAGTTTAATCAACAAGATGGAGAATTATGAATTTGTCTTCGTTATGCATTTAATGATGTATTTGTTTGGAATTACTAATGAGTTGTCTCTTGCCTTGCAACAAAAAGATCAAAATATTGTTTTGGCAATCAACTTGATTGGGACAATGAAAGTTAGATTGCAAGAATTCCGAGATAATGGGTGGGAGAGTCTTTTAGAAGAAACAAATACATTTTGTGAAAAAGTCAACATCCCGATCTTAAACATGGAAGAAGAAGTACTAATTCGTGGGCGTAGTAGACGAAGCAGAAACACAACCACAAATTTGATTCACTTTCGCGGCGGAATCTTTTGTGAGGTATATGACTATGTCTTTTGATTATTTTTTAATATTAGTATTGTATTCCATTATTTTGATTATATTATTTTGTACTATGTATTAGGTTGTTGACAAGATGATTGTGGAGATGAATAATCGTTTTTCAGAGGCAAGTACTGAGTTACTTACTTGTATTGCATGTCTTGATCCAAGAAATTCTTTCTATCAATTTGACATTGATAAACTGATTCATATGGCTGAAATGTATGCGGAAGACTTTTCTTCTACCGATCGTTTTATGCTTAAGCAACAACTTGAGACATACATTCATGCCGTAAAGAGTCAAAGTCAATTTCATGCAATTGAAGATTTGGGAAGTCTTGCCAAACAAATGGTTGAAAGTGGCATGAACCTTGTGTTTTCTTTGGTATATCGTCTTATTGAGTTGACGTTAGTTTTACCGGTTGCAACAGTTTCAGTTGAAAGAGTCTTTTCTGGCATGAAAATCATCAAGACTGATTTACGGAGTAGAATGGGAGATGAATGGATGAATGATAGTTTGGTGATCTACATGGAGAAGGAAATTTTTTCCAAGATTGAAAATGAAGCAATTTTGCAACGTTTTCAATGTATGCAAACACGCCGTACGCAATTGTCTAAATTGGCTTCTTCTTCTTCTAACATTTAATTGTAATGTAATGTACCATTCTCACAAATTTTATATTATGTAAACTTTAATAGCAATTTATATTTTTGTATTTGGTAATACTTTTAGCTACCCCTTTGTTTTCGGTTCCGCCACTGGAAGTAGTATATTAGTATATTAATTATCACTAAAGCTGTAAATAAAGTCTTCTGAGTATTTGTTTCTAGAGAAGAGCTGTAATTGTTTTGTATCTATACTCGAAGCAGGGGTCAATAAAAGCCTTGCCCGAAGAATGCACATCAAGAATGAGTCCATATCTGGTAATATAGATTGAATCAGTTTTTTATAAAATAATGACGAAAGAAATTAAACCTCATGCTCGATCATTATTCCTCAACTTATTGATTGCCTCATTTTCAAAGACCATCCATCCAGTTATATATATTGCTTCTCAGTACATTTATTTGTAAATAATTACTATATTTGATGCCTTATATTAGTAAGATCTTTTAATCTAGCTAAACATATATAATGCATCAAATAAAGTCATTCTCATTTGTTAATTAAAGTCCTTGTGAATTTTTACAGTGTTTCTTCCCTCAAAATGTACAAGAACACATCAAAACGCCCATCTTCTTCCTGATGTCCGCATTTGATACGGTTCAGGTCACAATTTATATATTTCTGTGTCGTCTGATTCTTCATATGTGATTTGTATATTGGTTGTGCTCTTATTAATGCTTGATATATATTGATTTATTTTCAGGTAACATGGACCTTTTCAGGGAATAATGATACAATAAAAAGTTGTCTCACTAATTCCCAGAATTGCTCAAGTGACATTATTAAAACATTGCAAGGTTAATTTAATTTGTCACTCTCTGCTGACAAATACGTAGTACTTTTTTATAAACACAATTATAAAAAAGTTTTTATAAATAAGGACATCGATCATGTTTCAAATATTTTCAAGAAATTAAAAGCATGTTTAATTATATTATTAATATAAAAAGGAATAAGAACAAATATCCCCTACGTACATCTTTTAAGGAGCATAGTTTGAGCTTCATAGAGTTGAATTGGAAATTAGCTTTTCTTTTTTGATAATGTTTGACAATGTACAGTTATAAATTTATAATTACATGGGGATTGGGGAAGTAGAGTAAATCTTAAGACTTTCTTTACCAAATAATGGAAAAACTGATTTTTTAGGAACATCTTAACATGGAGTTCAAGGACTTTAAATAAGAATTGAAGGGATGTAGTACATTACTTCGTACATAATTAAGTCATACTACATATATAGGCCAAAATGTTATGACTTCCTAAATGTGACTTTAATTTGATGGCTATTTGTTTATCTATATAATACTACCTCCGTCCCATAATACTTGGCCCAGGAAATTCAACACAAAGTTGACTAATAAAGCTTTAAACTTACTAAATTGTCCCTTATTATCGAGCTTAGCTGACGGTGACATGTCCCTTCCTAGTGACCTAACCCAACCTGTTATAGTTACCTGATATGATCACCTACAATTACTAGACCCAACCAGTTATGATTACTCAACCCGACAAGTTACATTTACCCGATGTGACCAGTTACAGTTACTAAACTCAACCAGTAACAGTTATCTGATCCCAATAGTTACAATTACCTGATATGAGTAGATACAATTAATAGACTCAACCAGTTATAGTTAACAGACCTATCCAATTAGATTTACCTGCTCTAACCAATTATGTACGACTAGTTACTAGTATCAAGTTACAATTACTAGAACCAACCAATTACAGTTACCCGATTCGACCAGTTACATTTATTCGATCCGACCCAATTAATTACCATTATCGACCCGACTAGTTACAAGGCCTGATAGTGACCACTACCGGTCACCACCGCCACGCCCCCGACTCGACAGGAAGTGTTACAATATTGACAGGAAGTGTAGTGATTATGACTAGTAGTGCAATAATACACAAAACTAATGCTGCCATGAAATGCACTATATGTAATTGACCGTAAAATACTAAAATTATTAAATATAAAAAAGAACTATAAATAAATGCACTATATGTAATTGACCACTTTATTATACCAGAATCTAAACCACAACTTTTACTTTATTTTTTCAACCATTTTATTAATAATTAAGGCAAAAAAAATAAGACACTTAAAATTGGATGAATGACGGAGATAGTACGATATTTAATAAGGTAAATCGAACTTGTAAATATCTCAGTAAAGTCTCATTACACGTTTTGTAGGTTTGTAAGATTTCTCTTTTCTTGGCATTGATTCCATGAATCAATGACGTTCAAGTAGACTACTGTATTATCATAATCTCCATATGTCATTTTATTATTCTCAGTATACACCCAATACCAAAAGCATTCTTTTCCCAGATCTCTAACCTCAGGGCAACAATCAGGAAAAGGAAAAGTTTTGGGAGGAACACGTCCCTCATTTCCATCATTTTGAATATATTGGATTATAAGCTTCCAACACTCATCATTTGGTTCCGGTTTGGAGCATTGAAGAGTAACATCACATAATGAGAGCCTCGTTTTCCTGATAAAAGCAACCCTAACAATAAAATAAAAGAGATCATGTAGCTTCGCATTTTTATTTCCCTCGCCCTACCAACGATAGTAAAGTTATAATAATATTGCTAAATTCTGCTATAAATATTGTTTATGTAAGCTAGCTCGCTTCTATCGTTATCAATGTTTATGTAACGACATAAAACGTAACTAAATAAAACGTACTTGATGTTACAACTAGTAATAATAAAGAACTATTCAATGGACAAATTTATTACTTATTTTTACACCGAATATGCGAATAGATCGATGTCAAGTTAGTTATTTAGGGTGACTCGCTCTATATTCATTATGCCTAGTATATGTTGGTGTATATAAATAAACTATTTTCAAAAATAAAAAAGGAATCGTGAAGTTAGGCTTTTTAATTTTGTGGAAAATTGAGAGACCATATATGCGATTTTCTCTTATGTTAATGAATTATATTAGGGGTAGAAAGGTAACGGTTGGTCCTACTTAGACAAAAAAAATTGCATTCTAATTGTGCTTTTATGTTTCGATTTAATCATATTTAAGACAATTTCTCATAACACGTACATTTTTCACTTATTCAAAACGCTAAAAGTTATCTAATCAACATTTTCAGCTGAAACGCCATTAACAAAGCTGAAAAATTGCATTTGAAGTGAAAAATAGATATAAAGCGTGGATATTAAAAGTGGATTTAATGATTGTTATAAAAATGACCGTTTACAAGAAAGATAGACGAATTATCAATTTGGGACCTGAAATATAAAAAATGTATCGTTATAAAACCCGAATGATGAAAAACTCTCAGTATAGGGCCTACATGATTGAAAACTGTCAATCTAGGACCTACGTTGAAATGAATTTTATTTTATTTTTTGTTTTAATTTTTTTTAATATTATTTAGTTTTATTAAACTAATAAACTTTTGTGAGGAAAAGATCGTAAAAATTAGCAATGAAGTTAATTAAAAAAAATCAAAACCTATGAAATGTTAGATCCTAGATTGATAGTTTTTCATCATCCGGATCCTAAATTAAACCTATACATTTTCATCATCCGGATTGACAATTCATCAATCTTTCAAGTCCTGAATTGATAAAATTCCTTGAATCAAACATATTTCGTATAAATTAGTTCAATTTAAGGTCTTTCACATGGTCCTTTTTTTACTCGACTAAGACCATTTGGTGTGGTGTGGAGTCCAAAATGTCAAAAATGGACTCCTTTCATATGAAAATAGTGTTTTGACTCCTATTTCCCTGCATTCCAACATCGTCAATAAAATACAATCTGCATATTTTTTTAAGTAATGTTTTCCTTTTAATTTCCCCCCTGAATAATTACGAAATAAAAAATGGTGTAAAAATAATTAAACTTCATTAACTTTGGTTAACATTTTTCGGTTAGCAAAAAATGAACTTAGTTCAAGTAAAGTTCTTATGTGGAATATTAAGTTATTTGTGGAGGATCCATGAATTTAAAATTTATGTTTCGTGTTATTTTGAGCTCAAGAAAACTCTGACAATTAAAACTTCAGATTTTTTTTAATTTTTATATTCTCTCCGGTCCTAAATAAATTTCACACTTTCCATTTTGGGTAGGTCCAAAATAAACTTCACACTTCTTCTTCCTTCCTTATTTGACAAATTATCTACATCAAAACAGTGCAAAACGTGCAAAACAGTGCCAAACAGTGTCAAACAGTGTCACAACAGTGGACTCCACTGTAAAGTCAACTTTATTTCTTTAATTTGTGTGAAATCAAAGTGTGAAGTTTATTTAGGACCGCAGAGAGTATATTACATATTGGTGTTTTGTGAAAGATCATAAAAATTATGAATTTTGATATATATTTTTAAAACATTAGATAAAAAATAAAAAATTATTTCCGTATGATTTAATGACGTGAACATGAAGTCAATCCCTTTTTTCCTTTTTCAATGCCATTCTCTTTGCGCACAGCAACCCCCAAGTCCCACTCCCTTTTTTATTTTCTTTAATTTTCCCTTTTTTTGGTTGTCAATACTCAATACACCCTCAGAATTTAAACTCCTCCATCCCTTTATCCATTTTTAATACAGAGTATCCTCTGATCTTTAAGCTTCTAATGTATAAAATTAGGAGTTCAAATATGTCATCTTTAACATTTTGGACTCCTAATACTTCATCACATCCACTAGTCTAACGTGATATCCTAACAGACCAATGTGAATTTTGAACATGTAAAATCGATCGGAAATGAACAAACAACAGGAATATGTAAAAAGAATTTTATGGAACATGTTCTGCCAAATTCCATTGAATGAACATACATGCACTGGGAATTTCCAAAATTAATGTTCACTTTTTCTTACGTTTTTCGCATCGAGATGATACAATTGAAATACTTTACGTACCCATTCAGTAATATTAATTGCTTTTCGATCAATATATTGTATTCTATCCCTCTCATTTAATTTTGCCCATTTTCTTTAATTTTTTTATGCATCTCA